ACTGAAAATAAAGCTCACAACAATATAATGTACTGTTGGAGAAGGTGCCTTACATTTAAAAAATCTGAATTCAAGCTTTAAAACGAAACAGCAAAGCATTTTTTCTATACAAAAAGAGAAAGACTTAACATTCTTGTTCTCTTGATATAAAGACAAATAGCTGCTGACAAAACTTTGGGACTGGTTATATACACCCTTAAACAAATCTTACAAGCTATGCTTTAAGGGTATATTTGCATATAATTCAATTAGTCGATGTTCAACCTGGCAAGATAGACAGTTCCACCTAAAACTAGCTTAGAAAGATCTTTGGAGAACTCAAAATATTTGTTACATAAGGTTAAAAAAACCTGATACATAAGGTTGAAAAAACTCAACTAAAAACCTCTTACATAAGGTTGAAAAACTCAATTAAAAACCTGTTACACAAAGTTGAAAAAAACTCAATTTAAAACCTGATACATAAGGTTGAAAAACCTCATTTAAAAACCTGTTACACAAGGTTGAAAAAACTCAATTAAAAACCTGATACATAAGGTTGAAAAACCTCATTTAAAAACCTGTTACACAAGGTTGAAAAAACTCAATTAAAAACCTGATACATAAGGTTGAAAAACCTCATTTAAAAACCTGTTACACAAGGTTGAAAAAACTCAATTAAAAACCAGTTACATAAGGGTGAAAAAACTCAACTAAAAACCTCTTACATAAGGTTGAAAAACCCAATTAAAAACCTGCTAGTTTATGAGTGAAAATACCTATACATGACACAATCGGCCTTATAAATAGGACAATTTATTTTATGTACTTTAGCTAATCCATAGAATATTTCATAATATGAGCCAACTGGCGTAATGTCATTATATATAGTTTCAGATACTAACCCTTCTTTCTTAGTTTTTAAAATATAATTTTGTAAACGTCTCTTTTTAGAAGTTGTAGTATTTTATGGATTACGTAAGGTACACAAAATGTGTTTTGAAAACGTCCAAGCTGTTGTTTGTTTATATGAACATACTGTGATTTGAAAACATCAGAATCTATAAACCGTACATTCTGGAGATCAAACTTGAGAGTTTAAAATATATAATTCAAGTTCTAAATGGTTTTATTAATTTGAATTATTTTTTCCCGATATCAGACACCGTATTAAAAAGATGGTAGTTTTAAACTCTCGACGTTCGCTACATAAGCCGCGAGACTTTTGTGAGATTTGAATTTCAAAACAATTGCATATGAAGTAATGGCTTCAGGTAAAATGCCAATAATAAAAAATAATTAGAATGAGAGAGACTACGCTGTAAAAAATCAAACGAAAAACTTAAGTAGTTTGTAAAATAACTCCTATTTTGGAGATTTGCTTAACACAAGATGACGCTGAATGGGTTGCCATCAGGGCAATGGGGTATGTCAGATGACGTGTAGCAAAGAAAATGTACAGTAGCAATCAGTTTATGAGAGATTTAGGATCAGTGGAGTGGATTCAAGGTATATTTTATCTTCAACCGGTTTATCTAAATTACTAGTGATTTATATACACACTATGATTAAGCTTTCGAAAAATATAACAATTTATTTTCTCCTACGTTATACACGACTGCAAAGTAAATGCAGTCATTTTAAGGGTTTCTATAGAATAATATTGACAGACTAGGAAACACGAGACATTGTTTACCAAGTTGAGTACAATATGTGCTCACGGGTTTTGCATTGGATGACGTTTCAATAACGAGTGTATGGTTTGATAAAGTGCTTTTAAATAATGAATTAAAAATACTCATTTTAAAGTTATTTATTCCCCCACATCATAAAAACAACAACAACAGAGGCATACTTAATTTATTTATACCAACAACAGAGGCATAATTAAATTAATTATACCTCTGTTTGATATCTTGACAACCGGAACGATATATACAAAGAAATGATAAAAATGTCTATCAAAAATGTGCTATATAAACCATTACATAAATGGAATATTTAAATACACAAAGCCTATACACCAGAAATATGGCTGTACAATCCCTACCACAAGAAAGTACGAACTCCAAAGTTTATCGGGTGTTAGAAAGAACCATATTTTGTTCTTAAAAGAATCAATGATGAAGTTTTTAGAATACAGAAGGATAGATGGTCCAAGCCAAAGGTCATCCGCTGTAACTGGTTTTGGGGTTACATCAGTCAGACAACAACCAATTGGGCAATTTCAGGAAAATAGCGAGAGTTATAGTGTCTGTTCTCTCACGTTGTTTATATATGGTCATTGATATTCCCTAAAGCTGATCGTATATATTATCATTCAAAAACATGAGATGCCCTGGTGACAAATCACAGTAGTTTCTGAGAAACATACTTCGGAAATCTGACATTTTAATTTTGATATAAAACGCCAATTGTTATTTTAAAGTTTTCTATCAGCGTACAAAGATTTTACAGAGAAACATGCACAGCACACATTCATAAGGAGCTGTAAATGTTTTATTTTATTGGAAAAATTCAAAGCTTTTTTTGATCCTATGTTCATAAGAAGGATATTGTTTATTAAACGTGATTATAAACAAGCTAATTCATGATTATTTGTTTGTTGAATTTTGCGCAAGCCTACTCAAGAGCTATCTGCGCTTGCCCTCCATGATTTTGAGGTGTTTATTTGTTTGTTCGAAGTTAAGCACAAAGCTAAACAAAGGGCTATCTGTGCTCTGCCCACCACGGGTATCG